TTACTTTTAGGTTTTGTCGGCCCATCCTTTCTCGTCCGTGACCACCTGACAACGTTATCACGGATCTCTCTCTCCATAACTTCCAGTATCCTTGCATGCGAGGCCAACAGAGGAGTATATTGGGTTGTCCTCCACCCCCTTGATCGTCCTTCTCTTTCGGTCCTCAAGGATCCCTTCCTTTCAGTCGTCGCGACAGGCTTTTTATCCTTCTTCTCGTCCCGAGGCTCAGTTTTTGGCTTGGCTGCTTGCAGAAAATCATCTTCGGCTTCCTCGACATTCATGTATTTGGCGCACCTTCCCAATACTTCATCGAACGTCCTTCCGGGTCGTTTCCCTAGGGAATTTCTGCACAGTCCCGGGAGTAGCCCTCGAGTGAGTCCTCCCGACTTGATCTCCTCAGTGGCCGAAGGGACGTCGACACACGCCCGTGTGTACCTCGCCACGTAGTCCCTCAGTGATTCCCCTTCTTTCTGCTGCTTACATATCAAAGTAAGGTAAAAATTTTCTTGGGCTTTTACACTTGCGAATTGGTTCAAGAAACTCGAGCTAAATCCATCGAAATCCTTGACGGCCCCTGGGGGCAATTGATGAAACCAATCCTGTGCTGGTCCTCGCAGGGTTGTCAGGAATGCTCGACACTGAACGGGGTCGTTATATCGATGCAATACTGCCATGTTTTCGAAACTTCTGAGATGTCGAGAGGGATCAGTCGACCCGTCATACCAGATATTAAGCTCCCTGAACCCTTGAGGCAAGTCGACATCTAGAATATGTTGTGAAAAAGGGTGTCCCCTCGAGCTTCCCGTTTTTCTTCCTTCCACCCGAGCCTGCAAATCTTGGACCTGTGCTAACAGCTGCTCCAGCGTGTCGTTTCTGGCTTGTGGATTAACGGTTCTGACAGAGGACTCCTCCTCGTCTACCCTCCTGTTCTGACTTTCATGTGATTGTGCCTGTTGCTCGCGTTCAGGGGGTTGCTGTTCATTTTGAGGTTGTTCGATCCTAGCTTGCTCGATTCAGGGTTGCTCCACCCTAGGTTGCTCGACTGGTGTTTGTTTGATTTGGGCAGCTACAGCTTCGGCAATCATCCTCTGCATCTCGCCCCGTGTTATGGTCAGCATTTGCTCCTCGCTTTGGGGCAGCGGTCTCTTTCCTGGCTCGAGCGGTCCAGGCTGCTTTCCCAGACTTAGGAGCGTCTCGGTTGACTCACGACCGTTGACTTCTCCGCTCGTGCTCCTCACGTGACTTGTCTCCCCTTGAGTGAGCACTGGGATCTTGACTCCTGGTGGGGTGATAGGCGTTTCTTCCCCCATACGCCCTCCTGATGGCGCGTGTTCCCCAAACGGTGGGAAATCGAACACTTGGAGCAGTGGTCTGGGGTTGGGAATCGGCGGAGGTCGCTTGTCAGTCCATGCCGCCCTGAAATATTCGTTCAAGTTTTCCTGCGGTCCTTCCTTGTCAGCCATCGGAAACAGATCCAAACTAGGTGTAAAGCTCTTACTTCCTTCAAGAACTCCCCACAGACGGCGCCAAATGATGGGTCTCTTCTCAGATCTGGAACGGCCCGATGAGAAAACGTTCGGATCTAGGATGAACCGGTATGAATGAGCTCAGATCTGATTTGATGCCCTTCGAACCGTTGTTGAGCCGTAAGAACATCTGCAAGAACTCAATGCTGGAGGGGTTTCCGGCGTAGAGCCTCCGACGCTCAAGTCAGTATGTGAAAGGGATGAAGATAGCAGTAGCAGTGAGGGAGAATATGGAATGAATGGGAGTTAGGGTTTTGGGATTATCTCAGTCCTTTATATAGAAGTGCAAAATTTACCTGAAGTCCCTAAAGTGCCCCGGCCGACTTACTGAAAATGTCCAGAATACCCTGGTCGGTTCGTATTCTGCCTACTTCCTAGTCAGCATCTAGATCCTTCCTTAGCTTCCTTCTTATCTTTAACTTTTCCTCAATACGCTGAGGTATATCAAAGCTATCGAGAACTATGAACTGCAAGACTCCTTCAGTTGACATGAGATATCGACTCGAGTCGACTGGATCGCATTCGATCACTAGTGGATCCTGATACGTTTGACCATCGTCTTGGCAGAAATCGACTTATGTTAGTCGACAGGTGTACGTCGACTCAGACGAGAGCTGGGATCCTTGATCGTGAGTATCATGGAGCCTTATTGGCGGAGTCGACTTTGTTAAAGTCGACTTGATAGTTTCGAACTGTGATGATACGGACCGTTATGAGCCAGTGTGTCTATATCAGTCAAGTAGAGTCCAAGTGTTCCAATATCCACAGGACTTCACGAACAACTTAGTCGAATCAAGTTCGACTACGTATGATTTGTGATTTCCATTTAAGTCAAGATAAATGTTGATTATAGGATCTTGACTTAATATAGGTGTTTGAGGAGTCAAACCTCAACCTACGTCTCTTTTGTTTTGTTGTTATCAATCCGAAATCCAGGTTGGTTTTATTTGAAATTGCTATACAATAAATTGTTGCCTTACGTGTTGGTATGATCAATGTATGTATGTGAACCATGTAGCCTCCGATGTGAGCTGTGTCGGCCGTCGAACGATTATCCCCATAACTGTAAAGCAAAACCCATGGGGTTTTCTCCTACTCTAGCATCCATATAAGCCCGAGGGGCATTCGGTGTAAAATCCTGAGGGGCATTCGATAAAAGTCCATGGGGCATTCGATACGTCTACCAGCAGTAGTCTATTGATATAGGAGTGCACATGAGTCTTGTTTGATGATATATATGAGCGAAAATTGGGATAAATGATTATTTCGTATACATGTCGCGACCATACCTGTATTATGTGATGATTACTATTTATTGTATAGTGGTGAGCACTACGTTATCATTTGTGCTCACTCCCACCAGCTCTTCATGGATGCAGGTTAAGTAGTTGGCGGGTGACAAGGCAAGACGAGTAATGGTCTTTATTTATTTCATTTAGCTTCCGTTTTTATGAACTATGTTTGAGACATGTTGAAAACCATTTTCAAAACCTATGTTATTGTTTTGATGATTGGGAATACTTTGTTAAACCCTTTAGTTGGTTTTGGAATATTCATGATGCTTGGATTTATGAGGTTTTGATAATTCACGCTGATATGATTCAGTTGTGTATTATATTATGTGATGTGGATTCGGTTGGTGAAAACCATATTAGAAAATCGGGTTTATGAATCCCCGTGGGTCCAGATAAGACTTGGACTAAGTAAATGTTTTGATTATTGCCCATGAATTTCGAAAAAGAGTTCGAAAAATTGTTACTTGATTTTTGGAAAGCCCAGGATTTCTTTAAAATCAATGTGGGGTGTTACACTTTGTGTACAAATAAGGATAAGCAATTTGTTTTCTGCTAGACCTTATTTGTTGCAAGGTTGGTGTTATTGTTTGCAATAACTCTGAGTCCGTGAAATCAAAAATGCAAACGTCGTCGCAATTCCCTATGATACAGTAACTTGGAGGCCAATGATTGTCATTTATCAGGTCGTGATCAACTCGTATGTGGCACCGGAGATAGTTTTCCCCGATCGGGAGTCGTCGACTAATTCAAGGAAGGTGTCTTACCTTAAAGGATTATGAAGGATCTTTTCAGGAGGGTAGTCGAGCCTGGAGCATGTGCCTTGGGAAGTGTTGAGCCGCCTGTATTCTCGAACTTCCGTTTCATTGTAAACTTTGACAAGTTCTCATTCTTTGGTTTCTTTTTGGCCTTCGGGAGAAATCTTTCAATTTCTTGGACTTGTGAAAAACCTTTGAAAACCCTTGTTCTTGTTTTCTTGTTCGCATGAAACTTCGAGACTAAGTCTTGCGACCTGATGTACCAATTAAGACAAGGGTTTCCATCTTTCTCCTTGTCCTATATCATTCTTTCAATTGTGTTTGGGTATTCCCTTCAGCCGAACTAATTAATTTTTATTGCCATCGAGGATGAGTTGGACCATTTCCGAGACGTACCAATCCTCTGGATACACCTAGGAGGAGTCCAGAGGAACTGCAAGGAAGGCCACCAGACGAGCAAGGCGAGTTGCAACCAACCTGTATACCGGAGGAGTCAATCTATTCATGGCAAAGAACGCTGCACATCAACAACTGTAAACCTAACCGATGGACGATGAAGGATGATCAACTGCTATCACGAGGTAAAGACCCATTCAATCAACTGAAGACAACTGCAAAATCATTGAAGACCGATCAGAGAACCGATGTATCATCAGCAGAAGATCGAGGAGTAAACGTATCAAAATGGGCTCTGGAACCCGATGAAAATATATGCAGTCGGATAGTGATTCTTTTCGTGCTAACTAATGCAATGGCGACTGCGACAGAATGTCTAGTTGTAATCTTGCAGCAATGTTATAATGTAAGAACATCGAGACGTAGCAGAAAAACTCGAAGACGTGATCGTGGTCATTTTGATGAAACAAGCCTCTCGCCCAGACCTTGAGGTGTGAACTCTAGGCAATGTAGATGAGTGGAGCTCGTTCAGGACTGCTGGAACGATTAGCTACCGGAGGAAGAGCTGACACGGCCGACGCTGTTAGTCGAAAGAGCCGAAGTGAGCTAGCTAGGTGGTGTCACGTAAAGAGCCGCTGACCTAGTACCATTCTCGACTGGAGAGGTGCATTAGTTTTCTTTTGATGATTTTTGCATATCTATAGCGTTGGGTCTTTTGCGTGTTGGAGTGTGTTGTTGGAACAAGGTAGTGGACTTGGAACTCGGTTTTTTATTCTTGAGACCTTGGAAATTGTGAATTCGTGTAAAACCAAAAGGCTTGTTTGGAATGAACCTTATTCGTACACATGTTGTGGAAAACTCTTCTCTTGCTATTACCTTAGTCTATGTGAAATCCCAAGTCAGAAAATTTTCGTATTGTGAAAAACCATGGATTAATTTTCTTGTCGAAGCCTTGAACCGATGGCTGACCTTGGAAAGGTTGGGCCACGCGAAGTGGTGGTTGAGAAGGCACGCTCGTGCTGAGAGACGTTAGGCACTGCAGGGCCGACCGTTGACTCGCACGAAGGCTGCAGCCATCATCACCGAATGTAGGAACTCCCCAGGCTAGTGTGTATGACCAAACCTTGACCTTGCAACTGGTCTCTGAACAGGTGCACGTGAGTATCCTGGCGCCCCACATATGCAGCGCCTGCGAGCATGTCGCCTCTCGGAGGACAGTGCATTAAAAATTCAAACGCCCATTTTATTTATCTTTTGGACGGTTTGACCACCGAGAGTTCCAAGTTCCACGGTACTGCGTTTGCATCCTTGATCGATAGTGTTGATAAGGAAGCATGGTCGATAAACTTTCTATGCCTATGTGAGGATTCCTCGAGATGGCGAGATAGGGGACTTGTGTTGACAGTAAACGGAGCCATGATGGGCTACGTTGGTGTCGTAGAATTATGTGTCATAAGTATGAGTATATCGGGGCTATACTGTGTGCACGATTGCACATTTACCGTGACTAACGCTTCGGAAAGAAGTCACGCGTGTGTCGAGATTGTGGGTAAGTCTTCGGCGTGACCCGGGCACCATGCTGAAACTCAACTTCACGTATCGACCTGGATTGTTTGACTAATAATCTCACGGTCGAGGCACTATGAGACTTGTTGAGGTCGTGTGTGCGTGTTGTGTGATGCGTTTGGCGATTTCTCACCTTGGGTGAGCCGTTTTGTGTTTTTGTGTATCGAACGGGTATCCGGATGGTACCATTCGAGTTTCCCTTTTTGTATGACGAGAGGTGTGATATACCTCGGTTTGGGGTAATGAGGATCCACTGTCGTGTGCGGTTAGTCCATTGAGATCCTTACTTAAGTCGGTGACTTGGATTATCGGCTAGCTTTACCACCAAATTTGTCAGGGGTGCATGTTGTGTTCATGTCTCGATGTTGCGTAGAGATTTGCATGACCCGGACTACGTGGTGGAGAAACCGCATGCGGAGAAACCGCCCAACCCATCACCCCTCCATCTCTTTTGCATGCATGGCTTCAATGTTTGAATTTTGAATTCATTTATCATCACCCATAACACCAAAGATCTGATTTTATTCCTTGTTAACTCCTCATAATGATGATAATCAAGTCTTGGGAAGGTTACAATTTGTAGGCATTAAGAAGGGAAGACCATTCCTTCCCTTTCACTTCTCATTCTCCC